CATTTCAGAGCCCAGCAGGATGAGAAGCCAGAGGAAGGATCCCTGGGCTGGGACCGAGGTGAGCTGAGGTTGGGTCTCCAGCAGGAGTGATGTCCCTGATCCTTGTCCTGAGGCGGAAAGTCCACAAGATGAATCAGGCCCCTGCTTGGTCTGCCACATTGGAGCTCCAGTAATGTACTCAGCCTATTAATCTTTGTGCTTTGTGAGATTCCCTATTGAAAGGTGACTGAAAATGGGAAACAGCAATTTGAATACTAAAAACCCTGCCAGAATGGCACCTGCAAAGCCTTTACCCGCTGATATTCTTAGCAGATAAGTATGGAGAGCTCTGTGTGTCCAGAGTGTCACTGACAGTAGATAACATCCCTGCCTACTTTTTAAAATTAGCAGATAGATTGAAACTGGAACCTTGTCCTTCACGTTTCTTCCGTTGCTGGTTGCAATAGACTGAATGTTTGTGTTCCTTCACAATCCTCATGTTGGATTCCTAGCCCTGGAGTGACTGCGGTAGGAAGTGGGGCCTCTGGGAGGTGACCGGGCCATGAGGATGGAGCTCTCAGGAGTAGGGCTAGTCCTGCAAAGAGACCCCGGGAGCTCCTGAGCAACACCCACCACGTGCGGACACAATGAGAAGACCCAAGCCCATGAACCAGGAAGCAGGAATCTGCCTGCACCTTGGACGTCCGTCCTCCACAGCGGTGAGAAATAACAGCATTTCTGTTCAAGCAGTTTGCACGGACTAAGACACTGATGAAGTCGATTACATCTTCGTTTTTAATGTACTAGATTATTTGAGGAACTCAAAACTGTGATACAAAAGGTTTCTTGAGTACAGTGGAGGCCACAGTGGGCCACAAGGGAAATCTATGCACCTGCTCTTTTACTTCCTCTCTGTCCTTAGTTGAGGGCTGTCACTGGGTGCCATGCTCTGTTCCAAGGGAGCTGTCTGTGTGAAGCTTATTTCAGTATTCAAACCCTCATTTTGTAAAAACCTTACAGTACACTCCATGTACCAAGCCTGCATTAATTTAGGTAGGTCTGGAAGGAGAGACCAACACTTGTTGACTGTAGCATTTTGACATGGGTTGACAGAGGGGCCAACAAGGGCAGACAGTGACAAGCTGAGTGGTAGGTATGCAGGCGTTCATTGTCCAACTAACGCTCTCCACTTTTGTGTAACTTCGAAAAGCCCCACAAAACACCCCGAAGCACATCCTTCTAGAAGTGGATATGGCAAGGGGAGACTCCTCTTTTCTTCTCTCTGCGGGGCTGCAATCTCTGAGCTTCTGTACAAGTTAAGGGAGCTGCCTTGTCCTCCTTCCATGGGGTAAGGTGGGAGCCCCCACTCAATAGCTCAGGTCGGAAGAAACAAACGGACAACTGCAGGATGCCATCTCCACCAGGAGAGGTTGGGACTCTGGGGGCATCTGGACCTTGGCTTGGGGGAATGCATTTTGTTAAGAATGTTGTTAAGAATCATTTTGGAGGCAACAGGGAAATTTGGATATGCGCTGGGTTTACTGATAGAGCAGGCAGGTTATAACAGGGAATTTCAGGGTCTTGGCACTTGGGAAATTCTTAGGAATTTTTTTTGAGCAGTTTTAAACCGAACACCTATGCCGACTACACGAGCAAGGCCGTTGACCCCTCTCTCCTGCAGAGTCCCACATCTCTCAGGACGTTTGTGGTGGAAAGCCGACCGTCAAGCAAGGTGCAGCTGGGGAATCCCACTGGGCGCGCGCACACGTGACCAAGCTGACTCATGACCACCTTTGCCCTGGCTGTGCGCTTATTACAATGTGTGCATTGTGGTTTTGCCGGATGTCCACCACTGTTCCCCCATGCCCGTCCCGGGATGGCCCCATCGAGTCAAAAACTCGCCGGCAGGAGGGAGGAGTCAGCCAAGCCGGCCCGAGAAGGCCCCTTCCCGAGAAACCCGCACCCCGAACCTTCCTCCTGACGGCCTCAGAGCTAAACGGCGAATCCAGTGACCCCGGGGCAGCAGCAGACTCGCAACCGCAGGCGCTTCCGCTCCCCGGAGAGGCGCGCCCTCGCCGTGGACGTCCCGCAGGCCGACTACGCTCCGCTCAGAAGCCCCCGCTGCCGCCGACCCCCGCGTCTCGGCCGAGACGCCCCTCCGGGCCACGCGGCACCGGCACCGACCGCACCGCTCACGGCGCCGGGCCACACCCCGCGGGGCGCAGGACGAGGGCCGCCTTCGCTCCCCGAGGCTGGGCCGGGCCACCGAGGCGCCTCTGCCGCTCGCGGGGAGGTTGAGGAAATCCCCGGCACCGAGCGAAAGGCGCCGCGGACTCCCTGCCGCGTCAGAAGCAGAGCAGACGAGGTCAGGAAATCCCGACGCGCTGACCCTCGGCGGCGGGGGTGCGGGCGACCGCGTCCTCTCCTGCCGCCCGTCCGGCTTTTCCGTCACCCAAACCTCCCGGCCTCGCTCGGCCCTTCCGTCCGGGCCGAGGCAGAAGCGGCGGCGCCGGCCCCGCGTCCCGGGCGCGAGCCAGACCCGCATCTCCTCCAGCCCCGGCCCGGGCGCCTCGCCC